AGCGGGACACAGGGAAGGGGTCCTGCCCCTCCCGACCCGCTGATGGGCAGCTCCGCATGGAGGGCGAAGCCGAGTCCTTCCAGAAGAAGTTCGAGAACTTCCTCCACAACTCCATCATCATCCCCAGGTGCCATCTGGGGGGGGTCCCAGTGTCATGGGGGGATCCCCAGGCTGGGTGCATGGGTCTGCCCTGAGCGGGGGTCTGGTGGCTCCTCCTGGCAGATCCTTTAACAGATTTCCCACTGTCTCAGGCCACCCTGGAAGGTGACGTCCATCAACAAGAACTCGCAGAGGTGAGCAGAGACCACACAAGCCTGGAGGGTCTTCCTTCCCCTGCTTGATTCTGGGGGACAACCCAGGTGTCCCGGCTCCCCACCGCCTCCATCCTTGTCTCCCACAGGACCCCGAAGAGACGCAGGGACTTGGTGGCTGTCACATCCCCGGCCAACACCTCCTCGGTGGAGCCGCCGGCTCCGAGCCGCGCCGGGGGCGAGCCCAAACCCGCCTTCCAGATTTTCGAGGACAAGGCGGTTGGGCTGCAGCGCCGCCACCTTCGTCTTCGCCAGGACCATGCCGGAGCGTAGGTCCCAGCAGCCTCCCCCCTCCCAAAACCTGACTCGACATTGCTGGGACTCTCTGGGGTCCTGGCACCTCTGAGATGGGGGGTTGGCAGCGAGCTGGGGTCCGGGTGATGTCCCCAGGTGCTGACCCACTCCGTGCCCCTCTCCAGTGCAAGCCGACAACATTCCCGGCAACGTCACGTGGGAGCCGGCCAGTAAGAACAGCGTCCTGCTGCGCTGGGAAGAGCCCAGGAACCCCAACGGGCTCATCCTCAAATACGAGATCAAGTACAGCCGCGAGAGCGAGGTGAGGACCCACCCTGGAATCCCCTGCCAGGCCTTGCCAGGTCTGGTTACGGGGGCACAGCACCCTTCCCTTCCCTTCCCTTCCCTTCCCTTCCCTTCCTTTTTTTTTTTACCTCTGAATTTCAGAATACCTTTTAGGGGCATTTTTCCAGGTCCCTCACATAGACACTTGCGGATAGTCTTT